TTAACCAGGGCAATTAAGAACAATGTCTAGAAAACAAATATTTCAGTTAGAAAAATAAAATATGGGAATTGAGACATAGCAAAGTTTTGATATCCAAAAAACATCTTGCTCAGGATTAGATTTATTCAGTACAGTCCCAAGTTAATCTTAATCAGCAAATAGTCTAGAAAATTCTGATTCAAGGAAAGATGGTCAAAACTATCCCTATCCAAGTCATTCATTCATTCCTTCACTCTAACTGGACAGAAAAAAATTCATTCAAAGAGACAGCTGGACTTCATCGAATGAGATTATCTGTATCAGACACTGTTTCGATAGACAAATAAACTTCAAAGGAAATGTGGTTCTACTTCTAGGATCATAAAATCAGGAGTAAATTTAAAATATTACTTTTACTATCATTATGCATACATTTACCATGTGAATTGGAAATAAGTTAATCTGTGCCCAGCAACTTTATACTATGTAATATTTAGCATGCATATATATATTTGTATTATGAAGCATATTAAGCACACACTCAGTATTCACTTTACAAATAAGAGCATTAGAGGAGACCTTGGGAGACAGCTTAATAGCCAGCGTACATGTACCAGACCCGAGTCCAAACCCCAGCAATTCATAGGGTTTGAACCTAGAGACCCCTAAGCACTGTTGGGGGATCCCCAAAGTCCCTGGGCATCACAGGACCCCAGCACTGAAGCACAAGGTGGGCCCTTCTTGGAAGCCCCCAACCCCATAAAAAGAATGTTACCTACGTGAAACTAAGAAAAGTCACACATTCACTATCCCTTTTCTCTAAGTTCCCTGCCTCCAGAAAAAAAAGGACTTCACTGAATTTTTGTTCTAAATATTCACTTTCCTTAAAGAAGAATAACTTGAGGGATCAAACTGATAGTACAGCAGTGGGTAATCCCTGGCACTCGTGCAGTTCTCTGAGCCCACCAAAAGTGATTCCTTCCAGAGCACAGAGTCCTGTTAGCACAGAGTATCACAGAGTATGGCCCCAAAAACGAAACACTGAGGACTGAAGCAATAGCACAGCGGGTAGGGTGTTTGCCTTGCACACGGCCGACATGGGTTCGATTCCCAGCATCCCATAGGGTCCCCCGAGCATCGCCAGGAGTAATTCCTGAGTGCAGAGCCAGGAGTAACCCCTGAGCATCGCTGGGTGTGACCCAAAAACCAAAAAAAAAAAAAAAGAAACACTGAAACTTGGGAGATAAAATTATAATGCTGTAAGACTGATGGAGCACAAGAAATAAAGTAAATAAAAATTAATTAAAAATTTTTTTTAAAAATACATGAATTACAATTACAGAAAAGAATGGTTTGTCCTCACGAAAAGCAAGCCAGTGAAAATTTGAGAAGGCATGGGTTCAGCAAAATCATATAAATCATATTTCTTATACGATTACTATTTACAGAGTATTTTACACAATTATGTAAGATCTATTTTATTATTATGCTAAAACCATAAATAAGAAAATACTTCTGAGGTCTGAGGGCCTGCCTGCAAAGCTATATAGGACAGAATTATGGTGACATTAAGAAGCATGGAGGCATCAGAAACAGACAAAACTGGGGCCGGAAAGACAACATAGAAGATAGGGAATTTGCCTTGCATGTTGCAGGCCCAGGTTTGATCCCCAGCACCCATATGGTCCCCTGAGCCTGGCCAGGAGTGGTCCCCGGCCAGGGAAAAGTCCTAAGCACTACTGGGTGTGGCCCAAAACAAAACCAAACAAACAAAGAAGAGAGAAAAACTGCACATTAAAAGCGTCAAAATGTTCATTTTTATATTCTCTCTTTTTCATTCTTTTTTGGGGGTTTGGACCCCATTTGGCATTGCTCAAGGTTTACTCCTGGCTAGGCTCAAGGGGCAAGGGATCAAATCTTGGTGGGCCACAAGCAGGCAAGCATCCTACCCACTATCTATCTTTCAGCCCCAAACTGTTTACTTTGAATGAATAGAAAGAACGACTGGTGGCATGTTTCAAGAGCACATTATGTATATGCATAAATATTTCATGAATGGGTGCACAAAGCTATTAACAGTGATTCTATCTGTAAGATTCTGAGAGAATGAAAGAATGGAGAAGGACAAATTATATTTCAAATTATATTTCATATTTGTACTTTTGGAACTGTTTAAATTTCCTATTTGTAACACTAGTCAAATTCTTTTTTGACCTACATTGTGATTCCTTTATGATTTAAAAAATATTTAGAGGTTGGGAAGGGGTTCACTAGAAGAACATCAGCCTTAAATATGAGAAATTGGGTTTGATCCCTGCACCGTACAGTCCCTGAGCACCGAATGGATGGCCCTAATGTCCCTCAAAGCATTCCCAGGTGTGGGCTCCACAACATTAAAAATAATTTTTTTCACATTTGCCTGGATTTTAAGAGTTGAATATATTTATATTTCAAATATACTAGTGATTTTATATTATAAAAATCAAGACTGAAACTGTTTGAGGCCAAATTTTCACAAGATTGTACAATTAAAAATATCTTACAATTTATAATTATAAATTATAATTACAATTTGCTCTACTAAAATACAACTGCTGACTCACCAAAAGTCAGCATTAAAGTTATAGCTCAGTCTACAAGATGACCCAAAACTTGACAGCAAACCCAAACATTAATGTAACATTATATATATAATGTAACATTATAGTAACAAAAAAAAAGGAAGAGGAAAAAAATTTATGAACAAACCTCAAGTTATATAACATGCTTTGCAAAACAAAAATGTTTTAAGGTCTCCAAATTAAGAAGCAATATAGGGGCAGTTTCCTATAGTTGGAATCTAATCATATACCTAATAATTAACACTCCTAGTTGTGATTTGAAAACTTACATATACACAAAAACCTGCACACTAATATTATAGCAGCTTTTTCAAACTAATAAAAATTGAAGCAACCAAGATGTTGAGCTACAAAACCACAACACCCAAAAGGCGAGAGAGAGAGTAAAAGGGAATGTGCCTGCCACAGAGGCCGAGGGTGTGGGGTGTCGGGGAGAGAGGGAGGGATACTGGGACCATTGGTGGTGGAGAATGGGCACTGGTGGAGGGATGGGTACTTGATCATTGTATGACTGAAATGGAAGCACGAAATTTTGTAAGTCTGTAACTGTACCTCACAGTGATTCACTAAAAAAAATCTTAAAATTAAAATAATAAATTTTATATCCTGAAACTTCACCAAATTTGCTCTAGGAGCTATGTCAAATATATTTTATCTTGAAACATCTGTGAATAATGGTAGTTTTGGTCAATTTATAATCTATATGCCTTTTATATTTTTTTCTTGCCTGAATTAGCTGGTTAGAATCTTTATAAACCACTGAACAAAAGTACTGAAATTTATTAAAAAAAAAAAAAAAGATGTTGGGCTACAGGCAATGACCTAAACTGTAGCATTCATCTGAATGATGAAATATTATTTATTAGCAAAAAAAACGGCGTTATCAGACGAGGAAATGCTGTAACTTTCAAAGGTGTGTAATAAAGTGAAAAAAGCAAATCTGAGAAGAATGACAATATTCTGGAAACAGAACTAGAGACGCAACTAGAGAGCCAGTAAAGAGATGTGTAGCCAGGAGTTCGAGGAGAGATAAACAGACGGATATGGGAACTTCGAAGGCAGTGAAATCCCTCTGTGCAACACTGGCAGGGAGCATCCACGTCACTCTCCATCTGGCAAAACTTACAACACTTGAGAAAAAGAGAAGCCGTCTAAGCAGCGTTCCTCTCGGTAAACTCACATGATCCATTTGTTTTTGTCTTCCCGAGCTCATGTATTTACCCATTTTGTTACTAGAATGTGTGACTCTTGCGCTCAAAACAAGCAGCGGGAAAGGAAGCATAGAAGCGCCTCATTGCGCACCAAGATTAACCTGGGAGAACTGAGTGGAGTTGTTGACTTTAGTCTTAAAAGCTCCTAGGAGACCTCCAGAATTCCAGAATCTTCTCAGAATTAGGTAGGAAGGATTCTGAATATATCATCAAATTAACATTTCTCAAATTGGGTAAGAGCCAAAATGTCAAAAGCAAGAAATCACAGAACTTTGTCGCTGGTGTAACAACTGGTAATTATCTAACAAACATAGCACGCGCCAGCCAGACTAGCCAAGGAATAATGGCGTGTGTGTGTGTGTGTGTGTGTGTGTGTGTGTGTGTGTGTGTGAGATAGCGATGCTCTACAGTCTCAGAGGCTTTAAGGAACTTTACCACCTGTAATGGACAATCCAAATTAATAACAGAGAGGCTCCAATAATTGGAAAAGCTACATTTTAGAGTAAAACCACCGGCTCTCAAAATTTGAAGCTGTTTTTTAGCTAAATCTATTATGCAAATAAACCTATGATAACATGCTTAGAGGGAATTTTTGTTTATTGTGGGTTTGTTTCTGTTTCAGAGGAAGCAGTGAGAAAGCACAAGAGATAGGCTCCAGGATATAAAAATGTTTTCTTAGTCAGTACAAAATTAGTTAAGGCATCAAAACTAATATCTTAAAATTTTTCCTCAATAAACATGACAGTTCACAGTACATTTCATAGAAACGAGAGATATCCAATATTTTAGTTTCTAAAGGTCTACCCATACACGGCTGTGTGTATAATGTGTCAGATATAAAAAATATTTTATATCATAGTCTGAAAATTTAGCCACTGTGAATAGGAGGGAAACTGGGGACAATGGTAGAAGGAAGGGGACACTGGAACACGTGACATCTGATATCCAATTATGAAAAACTTCATAATTTACCTGGCGGTGAGTCCCAAGAACAAAAGAAAATGGAGGAAGAAGGGTTCTCTTTTAAAAATAAATAAATAAAAGCTTATGTAAGGAGACTTGCAAAGCATTTTCCATTAGCAATTACAAAATTATATAAACAAAAGATTGAGAAAGAACTAACTCTTGGTTGGAATCACAATATACGCAGACGCGGATGGATGAACTCGGCGGAAGCCCTGCACCTTACCTTCTTCTGGAGAACATTGACCTTCCGTTCTTTGACATCCAACATGTCCTTCAGGTCATGTATCTCTCCAGCTTGGGTCCCCTTCTCCTCAGCCATATCCTGGATTTGTTTTGTCTTCTTATTCAGCATCGTTTCCTTCTCTTCCAAACGTAATCGAAGAGCATCAACCTAAGAATGTTGAGATTTTTAGGAGGAATTAACTAAGAATAAATATCATTTCTTCCACAGAGCTGTGTCTCACCCCTCAAATGACACTCCCTGAGAGAACTTCACTAGAATTCAAGACCACTCTACATATAATTATTCCATTTAGAAAATCGAACATTAATACTTCGTGAGAAAATTTTATGTATCAGCTAAGCTGATGGTGGTATCAGAATAGATCTGAACCAGCGGGACAAAAAGTAAAATTGTTATAAAGAGGATGTGCTTTGCTACATCTCCAAAAGCAGTGTAATCCACTATCATGTTTTCCAAACTTTCCGTGCAACAGCATCACCTGCACTATTTAAACTGATTGCCGGGCCCAGCCATTAACTTCTGATTCAGTGAGGTTTGTTCTCAAAAATGAGGAGTCTAGGGGACTGGAGACAGTACAGCATGTAGGGCACCTGACCTGCATCGGCCAAGCCGGGTTCAATTCCAGGCATCCGTGTGGTTACAGAACCATGTGGTTACAGAACTAATTTCTTAGTCAGCCTCTCTCCCCTCCCTCCCTTCATCTTTCTCTCTCCTCCCTCTCCCCTTTCCCTTCATCTTCTCCCTCTCCTTCTCTGCAGTATTCTAACAAATTCCCAACTGGTACTATACTGTGCTGCCAAAGCAAGCACACTATATGGTGTTTCAGAAAATCTGACGTTACAAGAAAATGAAAAACATAAACATCACCAAGCATATCATTTTTTATAGCAGGTAATCCAATCTACCTGTGATTGTTCTTCATGGTTCTTTTAGATTCTACCATTCTATTATACACAGCTATGCATGCTGTGTATAATGGCCTACCTTCAAACCCTGAAAGCCAAGGCCTACCTTCAAACCCTGAAACTAGTCATCTAAAATGTCATCTAAATGTCAGTTCTTCCTGTCACTATGATATGACATGTAAATTTGACGTGTATCCCCCTAACAAGTCCTTTAGAGATTTCCTCCCTCCCTTCCTTTCTCCCTCCCTTCCTCCCTTCTCCCCTTCCCCCATTCTCCCATCCCTCCCCTCATTCCTTCCTTCTTTCCTTTCTTCCTTGCTTTCTTTCCTTTTTTTAATATTCCTGGGGCTGGAACACATACCTCACATGGAGGTACACCACACACACACCACTGTCCCTAGCACTACTGGGAAAGACTCCTAAGCTACAGTCAGGTTTGGCCACAAAACAAATAAAAAACCATGCTTTTTTGACAAATAAGAGAACTACAATAAGTCAAGGTCAGTGAATCCAAGAGATGCTACACAAAAATTTTTCACTTTTGGTGCCTCAATTGAGACCTAGAGAGCTGGGGGGGAAAAAAACGATACTAAAGCAAAACGAAACTGGATTAGATGACTATTACTGAGGAGGTCTGTAATAGTCTTTTCTAAAGACACTGCCACTGTCACTGTCCTCCCGTTGTTCATCGATTTGCTCAAGCGGGCCCAGTAATGTCTCCATCGTGAGACTTGTTGTTACTGTGTTTGGCATATCGAATACGTCACGGGGAGCTTGCCAGGCTTTGCCATGTGGGCAAAGATACTCTTGGTAGCTTGCCCGGCTCTCTGAGAGGGGCGGAGGAATCGAAGCTGGGTCAGCTGGGTAGGCCAGGTCAGGCGCACGCAAGGCAAACGCCCTATCTGCTAGCAAACGCCCTACCCGCTAGTCTCTCTTCGTTCTAAAGATAATGAACAATTTAAATTTCCTTCTGTGTTCATCTATTAAAATCAGAAATAATCACCCTTGCAAAAGAAGATAAAAGGTCAGAAACAAAAAAATCAAAACAGTCTGAGTACTGAGCAGCCTGAGTACTGATTCTACTGTGAGAGAAAGAAATAAAAAGTTTAAAAAAAAAAAACTGCCAGCACAGACCAAAGACCCTTATAAAATATGAAATTCAATGACCAGGCAGCTCAAGATGGTTAAAGAACCCACGGCAGCCCATGACCCTTACCCACTTGGCATTCAGGCATGGTTCAAGTCAGTCTGTATGGCTACTAATCCTATTTGACATTATCCGACTTGGTTCCAATTAGCTGAATCCCTTCCTTACAGGACATCAGCTACGGTGAGTCAAGTGGGTGCTTATTGAATCCATTAACGCTTCTGCATGGCTAATGAGGTCAAGTCTTACAAAGGGTATATGGCAGAATGTTTTTAATAAATCAATCCCCAGAAGCACAGGCACAGCTTAAATGGGAGAGCACAGGTCTTTCACATTTGAGGGTCTGTTTCATCCATGGCACTGTATGACCTGAGGACTGCCAGGTGTGGCCTGATTCACAACAAACAAGAGGCACGAAACATCCTTTGAAAGGTGCTTGGTCAATAAAATTAAATAAGTCACTTATTATATCATTTGCATCGAGGGTGCCAAGGATAGCATAGAAGGTAGGGAACTTTCCTGGCACGTGGCTGACCCTGGTTTGATCCCTGGCATCACATATAGTCCGTCAAGCACTGGCATGAGTGAGTCATGAACACAGAGCCAAGAGTAAGCCCTGAGCACCACCAGGTGTGGCCAAGCCCACCCTCCCCCCCCCCAAACATTAGCACCTGATTTTTACATTCCAATTTTTACTCTGAATATATTCCACCCCTGTATGTCTGTAACCAATCACCACAAACAAAAGAATTTAAAAATAGAGAATACAATACCTAAAACATTTTACTACAAAGCTCCCTAATACACTATTCAATTCTTATTGTCTTATTGTAAAGGTGAAAGTTCAGACAGACAAAACTATAGATGACTCTTAACTGCCTGATTTCCTTTTCACCCAGTTCTTCTCATCCTTAAATTTCAAAAAACAAAAACCAGAAAGCTTTGAATTCTGCATCAGAAATCCTAACTCCTGATCAAGCAGGAAAACATTTCTCAACACTTCGAAATGTCTCTCAATCATGTTTCCAATGTCTCCCAGGACAATAACCAGGAGACCTCCTCTTGCTACTTGTTTACCAAAACTATCTTAATGTACTTTTATATCAGATCCCTGACGCAGTTAAATGACCTGGAAATGTGCCAGTGTTACCCAGTCATAAATGGCTGCATGCCTTTTGAGGGAATGTCAGATATGAGACCCACAGGAATTGACTGAAAAAGGTAAAGAATGAAAACTCTTGTTATAAACATACAAACCTTTGGTGAAAGTATAGCTGGAAATGAGGGCTTTTATGTCAAAAAGAATCACATAACTGTCAAAGTCCACATTCTAATTACTAAATGACCTTTTCTTTGCCACGTTTTCAAGTCAACACTTTCTCTTGGTCTGCTTTTGCGAGCAATACAGATTTTAAATGTGCTGGTCTAGAGACATATGATAAAAACAACCACAAAACCACTTGGCTGCTACTAGATTAACTGCTCTGAATTCTACACTGATTTTTTGGTTTGGAAGAAACTAAATTCACAGCATTTAATTTTGCGTGAGGTCCATATTTTGCAAACCACAAAATCATACTCAGGAAAGCCCCTCAGAGACCAGCAGGACAAACAGCCACCCCCTAACACCATTCCTGGCAGGAGGAATAAGACCATGTTTATTCACATCAACTGAGCTGAAGATATAATATCCACCTAGACTGCCAAGAATAAAGGTCTGTGTCAAATATGTTATGCCAACTTCAACAGAAACAGAAGATTTTTCTCTGCAATATTTTCTCTACCAATAGACATACACAGAAAAATGGCTCCTTGCTATTTTGGTTTTTCACTTATCATAAACTACTGATTATTTCGAACTACCTTAACGGATTTTTTGTTGTTGTTGCTGTTGTCTGTTTTTATACCAACAGATAGATCTACTTAAACGCACATGAGCAGTCAGTAATTGCAAGGGAACATTGGCTCTTTCCTGTAATCCCTCCACTGGTTTTCACCAGTAGGAACCAATTTCTTTCTAGCGCTTCACCTTTTCAATTTTCTTCACTAGATCTGCTGTCATTTTGCCCTTTTACAGCTTACTTTATATCGCTTCTTCTAGACAAACTAACTTAATTTTAGGGTGCTACCAATCACCTGGGCTGGAGCGATAGCACAGCGGTAGGGCATTTGCCTTGCACGCAGCCAACATGGCCGACCTGAGTTCGATTCCTCCACCCCTCTTGGAGAGCCCGGCAAGCTACCGAGAGTATTTGATATGCCAGACACAGTAACAACAAAGTCTCCAATGGAGACGTTACTGGGCCCGCTCGAGCAAATCAATGATCAACGGGAGGGCCTTTACCTTTACCTTACCTTTACCAATCACCTATGTAACGACAGCTTACAAATCTTTATTTCTAGTCAAAACAAACTCTGAAGACCTAATGGTCTAACAAAACTGTCTACTTAAACCAAATCTTCATGGAATACTCAGAGGAAAACAGAATTCCATTGTTTACAAAGGATCTTTGAAAGATCGGCAAATGTGGTTAAATGCTAAAGTTAAGTTAAAGTTAAATCTGAGGTGGCCATCACATTATACATCAGTAACATTTTGTATATTTTAAATTAAATAATTCATTCTAATTTTTAAGCTGAGGAAACCAAAGCCCAATAAACGACTTGCCCAAAGGCACTAAGCATAATTCCTCCCACCCCCCCTACAGAAATCCCACTGCTCCCATCTAGGTGGGGAGCTGAAGGAAGGACATGAAGCATGAGCCTAGTAACACACATGAGAAAACTTTTTTTAATCCACGGCCAGGGAAACAGGGGATAGGAGGACTGGTCAATGGTTAGAATCAACCACAAGTGTGTGGGGAGCTGAAGGTAGGTAAGATAGAGAAGGGACCAGTTCAACAATAACAGCTGGAAATTACCGCGCAGGACAAGAACTGAGTATTAAAATTAGGTAAAGGGAAATACATGACCACCTTTCAGTATCTGTACTGCAAACCATAAAGTCCCAAAAGGGAGGAAGGAGGGAGGAAGGGAATGATACACAGAGATAGAGAGAGGAGAGGAGAGAGGGGGGAGGGGGGGGAGAGGGGGGA